AATGACGGAATTATATACATGCACATCACATAGATCCACATTATCCCTCATTTTTATGATGATGACGCATCTCTCAGGGAGGTGGTTAAACAAAAACCGATATAAATGATGATTGGAGTGATTAAATCCATCTCATAAATAAAGAGATTATACTCTACTCCCTCTGAAATTATACTTTTCCACCTTTGATATTATAAAAAAGATGAAAAAAATAAACAACACAAACACATAGATCAACAATATCATTTTTATAAAGGGAAGCGGAAGAGGGAGAAGAAACACTTAGCAAATTAATATATGGATGATTGATTTAAGATTCCTAACTCAAATCTTATGAAAAAGAAATTTTCTTTAGGAAGAGGTTTTGTAAAAATATCTTCCAATTGATTAGATGAAGAGACAAACTCAATTACAAAATCCTAATTTTTGACATGATTCATGGTAAAATTGCGCCTAATCTCAATCCGTTTTGTCCAAAAGTGAAACACCGAAACTTTAATGAGTTTTATGGGGCTAGTGTAGTCGTATTTTATAATGATAGGTCAGATATAATCAGTTAGCTCATATTTTATCCAGATAATTTACGCACAACAAATACCCATAACAACATGTTCTACTTCATATTAGAAAACGCTTTCAAAAGCGCTGCTAAAACGGGGTGAAAAGAGAGCGCTTTTCATGAAAAGACGCTGCCAAAAATCTGAAGAAACAATACATTAGAAAGCGCTTTCAAAAGTGCTGCCTAAAGGGGGGGGGGGGGGGGAAGCAAATATGAAGAAAATATACATAAGAAGGCACTTACAAAAGCGCTGCCTAAAGGGGGAAAAGAGAGCACTTTCAATGAAAAAACGCTGCCTAAAGGTGACCTTAGAGAGCATTTTTATAAAAAAGCTCTGCCTAAAGGGGACCTTTAGCAACACTTTTGCCTTAAATAAAAGCGATGCATTTACCTACAGCAGCGCCACTTTAGGCAATGCTGCTAAAGGCCAAAAAAAGCGCTGCTAAAGGCCAAAAAAAGCGCTGCTAAAGGTCTTTTATGGCATAGTGCGAAGAAAAATAAAGAGTCATAGGAAAGGACATGTCCACCCATCCTTACACTTGGCATAAAATGTTCAAAGAGTATACCTTCCCCAAAATAGTCAAAGAGACGAACCAAGGGAAATTACTAATATTTTTACAATAACATTTGATTCTAAAACTATTGATCCTCAAATATGAGGGAAACTCTTAGAGTGGTGCCACCACCCATACATGCATACTCAACCAACAAACACTGAGCTACAACACCAAGTTGGGTCATTGCTACCATCGACCACTATTGAGAATAAATAACACATAACCAAAAAACAACAACAAAAAACACATGTTATTGACAATGGCATGATCTCCATAAATAAGAAATAAAAAATAGTAGAGAAGAAAACTTGCTAGTAAACGAAAGGGAAAAATCTGAAAGAGCTTAAGGAGGTACTTACTCTACAATTGAGTTTTTCTACAAAAATAAGAATGATTTTTCTTTGTAATAAAGCTTTTAGCAAGAGGTATAAAGTAGATCAAGAAATATAAAGGATTAGAAATATGATTAAAATGGATTAAAAGGAATGATCTCCCGATTATACATACTTCTAAACAACTCAAGAATTTCAAACATCTATAAATATAACAATTTGGAAGCCAATGGTCTAACAGGCTGTCAACATACCAAAGCACATAAAAACCATAATTACATTTTGGATTTTGCACAAAAGAAAATGCACGCTTCACCCATGGTCATTCAGCCTCAAAAGTTTGGGTTCACGTAGAAGGTGAAAACGTATCCATAATTTACTAATGATAAACAAATCTTAGATTGCAACAGAGTTTGATGAGACATTCAGAGCCTAAAATTTCAAAATAGATGATAAACATGTGACATCTATTGTGTGTTCCTTATAACACATTCGAATTACAAAATAGGTCAACAATCCAAAGTGATGATTCTTGTTTTACCCTAACATTTGAAACTGAGGGTCATACCCATTAAAGTCTTTACCTGACTTCAAAGGAAGTGAAACTTTATATGGACTCGTCGATTAACACAATGCTCTAGCGACTCTTAAGACGAGATATAATTAAACTCTGTGATATAAAACTTGGGGAAAACTATTTCAAACCGATAGTAAAAAAATTATGAAGGCCTTTGTAGCAAAATGAAAAATAGAGATCTAAAGAAAATAAATTTGGTTTTCAATCACCAAAATGAAAAATAGAGATCTAAAGCAAATAATTTGGTTTTCAGACTCTAGGAGTAGGACGGACATGTGATATGGACTAGGGACGGAGATATCAATTATAGGTATTTTTACAACATTGTGAAGAGTAGGGCTAGAAGAAGATTCATACGAGCTGAAGAAATAGACACTGGGATGGTAGAGTCAGTGGTTGAAGTTAAGAAAGTTAATAAATTCAACTTCAAATATCTAAATTTAGAATAAGTGCAATTTTTGGAGGCCCTATTTTTAGACGAAGAGATTAAAGAAGCGGTTTGGAGTTGTGACAGATGTAAAAGCCCGAGATCTGACGACTTCAATTTTGTGTTAATTAAAGGTTGTTGCTACATCCTGAAAAACAACCTTATGAAGTTTATGAAAGATTTCCATGCTAGAGCTTGCCTGCCTAAGGCCATAACTTCTGCTTTTTTAACTCTCATTCCTAAGGTTTCTCGTCCAGGTAAGCTCGAAGGTTATAGACTGATTTTCCTTGTGGGAAGTCTCTATAAGATTTTAGCAAAACTGCTTGTCTCTAAGTTAAAAAAAGTTATGGGTGGTTTAATTTCTCTTTGCCAATCTACTTTCATTCCGGGGAGGCAATTATTGGATAAGGTGTTGATTACGAATGAGATTGTTGATTATGTCACCAGAGATAAAAAGGAGTGTGTTTTATTTAAGGTTAACTTCGAGTTTAAAATGGGATTTGGCAAGCTTTGGATGTGCTGGATGGAAGCTTTCATTTTAAACTGTCATTTATCTATTCTTGTTAACGGCAACTCCATTAAGGATTTTCAGGTTGAAAGAGGGTTGCGTCAGGGTGACCCGCTCTCTCTATACCTCTTCGTGATAGCAGTGAAGGGTTTATCTTCTTTGATTTCTAAGGCAGTAGATAGAGGTGATTTCATTGGGTACAAGCTAAAGGAGGAAGTGTCGGTGGAGATTATTTAATTCCTAAATGACACGTTATTGGTAGGAAGAGGAGGGTGGAGGAACCTTTGGAGCATCAAGGACATTCTTCGGGGATTTGAACTCGTTTTTAGTTTGCGTGTGAATTTTAATAAGAGTCGTTTAATTGGTCTCAATGTTAGTGTTCATTTTATGGAGGCAGTGTCAAATTTTTTGGCTTGTAAGATTGAAAAGGCTTGCTTCAATTTACTTGGAATCCCTGTTGGTGCGAATCTGAGAAGGATAAAAACTTGGTCCTTCTTGATGGATAAATTCGAATCCAAGTTGGCCCTTTGGAGAGGAAGATTTCTTTTTTTTGCAGGTAGAATAAATTTGATCAACTCGGTGTTAAGCAGCATCCTATTTTCATGTTTTCATTCCTTAAAGCGCTGGTTCAGGTTTGGAAAAACATTGACAAAATCAGAAGTTGTTTTCTTTGGGGGGTTCGGAGGTAAAGGGTAAGATTTATTGGTTGAAGTGGGATGTGGTGTGTAGATCGAATGATCTTGGCGGTCTTGGTATCAAAAGTATGAAAGAGTTTAATCTGACGCTTCTAACTAAATGGAAGTGGAGAATTATAGGGGTTGAAGGTTCTTTATGGAAGAATGTTTTGGAGGCTAGATATCGTGAATTGGATAATCAATTGTTGTAGGAAAAAAATTACAGTGGAAATAAATCTACTTCTAACTGGTGGAAGGATCTTTGCAAAATAGGAGACAACACAACTAGTAAAGTGTTATGCTTTGAAAATTTGATCAAATTTAAGCTAGGAGATGGTTCTGAGATACCTTTTTGGACTGCTATATGGGTAGGAAGTTCTTTAATAACTTCTTCTTTTCCATATATGTATGATATTAGTAAGTGTAAATAGGGTAATGTTGGGAGCATGGGTGCTTGGGTCGATGAAGTTTGGAGTTGGGAAGATTTCGGTATCTCGCTCGTTTCACAACCCTTACTCTCTGTCAGTTTTAGTCATTTGCATACTCTGCTGTCATTCGTTTATCCAAAGGCTGGTACGAAAGATGGAGGGTTATAAGATGATGAGAGGTTCGGTTGAGCCCCATTGGTCAGACCCTGGTTTGAGTAGAGCTTTTGTCCTGCTGTGGAAGGCTAAGGTTCCAATTAAAATCAAGGCTTTCTAATGAAAAATCTTCTTAAATAGGGTTGCTACACGAGATCAACTTAAACGCAGAGGTCTAAAGAATAAGAGAGAAGTGGTTTGGTTGGCAGACATGTGGAGTATTTGAAAGTCTAGAAACGAAGTAATATTTAACAGTGGTATTAATAGTGTGAATGAGATTATTTGAAATATTAAGTTGTTATCTTAGAAATGAACTTGCATTGAAGATATTGTCTATTCCAATTCTAAGTCTTACGACTTTTTTTTTGTACAGTTCAATACTTTTAAGTTGTGGTGGTGTTGGTAGAATATATATATATATATATATATATATATATATATATATATATATATATATATATATATATATATATATATATATATATATATATATATATATATATATATATATATATATATATATATATTTGTGATGTAATGAGAGAGTACCCCTTGTACTCCTATTAGGGAAACATAAAGAATGTTTGCCTTTGGATTTTTCTAATGTAGTGAAATAAATGGCAAAATTTACTAACACTTTGATAAAAGTCCATATTATTTATTTTAAACTAAGATATACATTAAGATAAAGATATTGTTATTACAACCAGCTGGAGAATCCACACATTCAGGTGTATTGCAAACTTCTTTATTCGGTAACGTCATCTCCAACGAGCTATGTGTTATTACTCAATCCTGCATTTGGTAATAAAAATGAACTTAAGCTTAATTCAATTCCTCTATCTTAATGAAATTAAAGTTTTTTTTTATATTATTATTAGAAATGAAAAATGAATTTAATTTGGTGTTTTTGTGTATAACTTTAGCATGATCAATAGTGTTAATATACATACTTGTTGCAGTCAGTGGAGGGACCAAGATTATAAGGCAAGTTAACCCCACATTTACCAGGGACGCCAGCAAGAGCAATAACATTCAGTCCGGGCACCGCATTAGCCGCCTTTTTGATACACCTACAGGCAGCTTGACGATCTTTTGCCGCGGCTTGCTTGTTTATAGCCCTAACGCCATCGCAACACGGTTGTGGGACAGCACCTACGATTCCGGTCACATACGGGATGCATGGGGCTAATTTTGCCTCAATTTGGCCACAAGTGAGAGCCGACGCAAGAGATTGTGGTTGACCTAAAATTATGCACAACAGAATTGTTAAACAAGTAACCTTCATCAACAACATTGTGCTAGACATTGATTGATGATTAGGGAAGTTAGAAAGAGGAGTTGGTGTTTTTGTTAGAATTTGATGTGTGGAGAATGATCAAAGGTTGGATATTTATAACGTGAATGAGATTCAAAATCATGAAAAAAAATGAATGCGTTTTGTGTTTGAAGAAAACGGTTAGTTTGTTGAGGAGTTGGAAAGCAGTCACGGTACGTATAGTCGCATGAATAATGTGTGAGTGATGAATTGGTGGGGAGTGTCTACCGTACATTAGATAATAACTTATAGGAAAATACTTGCATAAAATTATGTGGGTATTGTTGGATGGTTTTGTACTCGAATGAGAAAAATTGCGAAAAAATAAAAATGATACAAAAGTACAGAGCAATAGTAGATAAGGATTAAATTTTAATTAAATTACAAAATAAGATAAAGATTGATTTTTATTATTTTCATGACCAAACTGCTTCTAAAAGCGTGCTATTAAACCTGCTTGAACTTGAGGATGATTTTGTCTTTGATAAACATGTAATATCTTTTGAAACAATGTCTTTTAACTAGGATCATGACCAATAGATACTTTAAGTATAGAGGAATTATTATCAATGTGGTAATTAAAATTACCAACATATGTTTTTCGCTCATCTTCAATAATCATATTTTGCAATATCATACATGCTAATATTATGTACTTCATTATATTCATGTGTTGATAGACTTTAATCTCATAGCAAAACTGTGATCCTAATATGTTAGAGAAATAAAGGAGTGAGCGAGTAAAGTAAGCCCTATTTTAACTATATGTCTGTGTTTTCTTTTTATATATCTATTTTGATTGGATGTATGAGGGCAAGTGAGCCTATGGCTTATACCTAGGTCTGTAAGAAATTTGGAGAAAGGCCTAAACTCACCTCCATAGTCAGATTGCATTGACTTGATGGTTGTCTTGAATTGAGTTTGAACAAATACATGAAACAACTTGAAGGCTTGTAAGGCTTCTGATTTTTGTTTTAGGAAGTATAACCTAGTATACCTAGTGTGACCATCTACAAAGGTAATGTAGTATCTATAGCCAGAGCTAGAAGGATAAGGAGAAGGACCCCATAAATCAGAATAAACAATATCAAAAGCATTGGTATAAATATTAGTTGAAATAGGGGAATGTAATCTATGAGCTTTGCCTAGATTACAGAATTTTCAAAACAAAGAATCATGTTTATTTGATCAAGGAACATTACACTTTTTGAGAGTTTTTTTTACATAATTAAAGTTCGTGTGTCCTAATCTATGATGCCACAAGGACAAGGAATTGAAAGTTGTGGACTTATCTAAGCTAGGCTTGACAGCATTGTAGCTTTGAGCAGCAGGATGTATAGGCAAGGCAATACAAATCACTATCATCTATGAATCCCTAAACAAGAACTTGTTTAGAAACCTGACATTTCACACAATACTTATCAGCCATAAATTCAAAAAGAACATTGTTATCAGTATAAAAATTTAGAGACATACAAAAGGTTTCTAGTTATAGAAGGTACATGGAGGACATTGTTAAGAACTAACTTATGATTAGTGAAAAATTTAGAGTAAAAGGCAAGAGAACCAATGGTCTTTATAGCAAGAATTTGACCATTACCAACACATACTTTACTAGAACATAGATAGGGATTGATATTATATAAATGAGTATTAAAGGGAGTAAGATGGTGAGAGGCACCTGAGTTGGCAAACCAAACTTGAGATTTTAGCTGAGATGGAAGAGAATACTCCTGAGTATAAGCATAGGGTTGGCTTGTAGTAGCTATCATAACCTTGGCTTGAGAGCTTTGAGGTGACTCTTTAGCTTGATCTTGTTTAATGCCATAGCTGCTTGTACAATCAAAATGGGAGTTTGATGTGTTGTTAGGCATGAAAGATTCGCCAAACCTATGTCAACAATCAGCTGCAGAGTGACAATATCTTCCACACAGTTGACAAGTTGGACGATTTCCAGTAGTACTAGTAGTTGAGCGACCTTTTCCAAGGCCTCTAACTCGAGTGAAATGATTGCCCCTGCCACAATTTCCAGAAAATTCTCCTCTAGAGTTGTTAGTTTCGTGGCTTGTATGAGTTACATTAGCAGCAATAGTGAACACAACTAGTTCTTGGCGAAAGTTATTCAATTAAGCTTCTTGGACATAAAGAAGTGCTTCCACATCATATAATGAAGGTGACTCAGGGCTGCCATACATCTACATCACAAAGGGATTGTATTCTTCTGGAAGATAATCAATAGTATAATTGATTTGGTATTTCTCAAAAATTGAATCACCAACAACTAAGAGAGAATTAGCAATAACTTTGATACGCAAGACAAACTCAGTGATATATTTTTTCCCTTTCTTTGTGGATTTCAACTCAACACAAAGTTGATGAACCCTAGCTTTCATTTGAGCATTGAGATATTGATGAATCTTGTCCCAGACCTCAAAAGCATGTTGACACAAGAGTACTCTATGTAACACATATTCAAAAATCATAGACAACAACTAGATAAACACAACTTAATCTTGTACGAGCCACACTTCATATTTATCAGAAATCGTACCTGACACGAGATCTTGAGTTGACTTGAATTTATGAGGGATTTTTGGATTAACCACCACTTTGTGCATCTTTTGTGTCAATATTACACCTTTCACTTGCTAATTCCATAGAAGATAGTTATTGTCTTGTAATTTGATAGAAAGCTTAGGGAAATCAAAATTGTCTGAATTTAAAATAGGGAGATTAATTTTGTGAATCAGAAAAAATTAGGGAATTAAAACTTTAATTTAATCAAAATTATTCATGTCTAAAGGTTATCATCCTATATAAAGCCAATGATATAACCTTAATTAGTAAATAATCAAAGGGTTCTGCATCTGAAAAATAACTAAAATATAAATAAATAGTTCCATGGTGTTTACTTTGACAGTTATCTAAACCAACAACAAGGAGTATATTCCACTTTTGTTTCTTATTTGTAAGTGGCACGAACATAAATTAATGTGCTAACCAAAGACTTTGTTAATTAACTAGGAAATGAAGGTTCTTGATATTAGAAATATAGGTAAAGTTGAATGATTTAGGATTGAATCATGAATGATGTCATTTTCCTTAAGGGTATTTTAAGCACTCTCTTGTATGTCTTAGAGTTGGAGCGCAGGAATATCCAAGACAATTCAGTCTTATCTCGAATTTGCACAAGACTGGCGAAAACTCTATTTGTAGCGAAAAGTGTTTGGAATTTGTTCAAGAGGATATTCAGTTTGTGATATGAATTTCTGAATTCTAGAATGATGTATTTATAGGTCGTATATGTGTTGTTTCACAAGGTTGCGACCCTTTATGAAACAACACATTTAAACTAAAAGTTGCATTGTTTCCAAGCATTATCATTTTTCATTCCGCAGCAACACTTCACAAAGTGTTACTTCTCTTCAAATTCAAAATTCAAACGCATGCATCGACCAAAACGAGAGCAATAATGAGCCCAGCCAGAGGCCATCCGCCACCCACCGAAGTGACACTAGTGCCGCGAGTATCCCTATGTGTCGTGCCTAAGTACTCAAGTATCACCTACCATCCGCCTCTAGCGCCTCTACGTCCACGCCCTCGGACCCGGTCCTAGAGTTGGTGTCTCCGATGACGACACCGGCGAAGGGTTGTATGGAGGAGACAAGTGGCATAATGCTTGGGACCACCACACTTGTTCATGTGACATTTTATCCTCTTTTGTCCTTTTGTTGAATTAATACTCATAACTCTTTATAAAGGCTTTTAAAGTCAGTGAAACTTTCTATGTTGGACTATTTCCCAATCATTTATTGGCATTTACTCACTTCTAATTTTCTTGTCATTTTGGAGCACACCCATGAACATTTATTGATCATAAATTACAACAATCCCTCACTTGTTCTAATATTTACAAGACCAATTCCAAAAAAGAGAAACGAAAAATGTTAATACAGTTAAGTATCTTTCAATTTGAATTTAAACTTAGTAAGCATGACACAAAGTATAATCAAAATGTTAGGTAGTAATGATTTGAACCGTTATCCCTTGTAGTTATACCGGCGTTAATACAGTTAATGAATTGATGTTGGACCCTTGAAACAAAGTTGTAAAGGAGTTCAAATGTGACATTTGGCTCAAATTAGATTCGGAAAATGTTGAGAAATGAGAAAGTTATAGTGCTTTGACCAAGTGACGTGCAATACTTGGTTTTTGGCCAACCAAACATGTGCCAACTTGTGATTTCTTGCTATTTTCTTGCATCCAAAGATCCAATGATGAACACTTGGATACAAAATGAAGGAAGGTTGATTTCCCTTGAATAATATTTGATGATTGCTTGAAAATTGAAGGGAGATGACATGGAAATAAACACATGAACCATACTTGATTTAATTTGAAATCATGCACCAAACTTAAACTTTTCTTGATCAAATGATGATGAATGAAGCTTGCATGATTGTAACATAAGATTACAAGTCATGCCTTGAAGTGAAAGCTCTTGCGGACCACTTGTTGACCAAACATTTACTTTGAGCATCCAAACCCTAATTAAGAAACCATGATTGATCCATTGATTGCAAATCCCTACCTTGTACAATAAGAAAAGGAAACAACACGTATTTTCATATTTTAAATAAGGTTAACAAAGTTAGACTGTAAACAGGAAATAGAGGCAACAAGAAACACGAATGGTGTTTGGTGATCTCTCCCAAAGGAAAAACCAAAGAAGTAAAGGTTAAGAGGATACCATGCTTGTGGTCTTGGTGAGATGCCAATGATTTGATAGATGGAATCTTAGGGGTAAAAATTAGGTTATGACAAATGCCCCTATTTAAGTATTCGGGGATATGAAGATTATAAATCTTTGTATCGACGGACTTGTAGAGACTTAAATACAGAAGACCCAATTTTTAGCCCTAAGATGTCGCACGATGCTTATGATATGCATGTGAAATGATACCACAGGAGAAAACTTGAAGGGAGCACGA